CATGCCCTCATGCATGGCTGGTGCGGTGACCGGCGTGCTGTGTGTTGGGTGCACGCCGCCGAGCTATCTTCTGAGTTGTGCTGCCGTGTGGGCTGGGGGCCCAAGCGTGAACGCGGCAGGGGAGTGTCAACGGGAGTTGTGTTTGGCCCCGTCCTCGCTTGGGCGGAGCCGACCTCGTGGTCGGGTGTGCGAGGGGACGCAGCCGACCTGCAGAAGTGGGCACGGGGGTCACTGCAAGGGCGTGGAGTTGGTGGGCGTCTGGCTGGAGGGCGCCGAGCAGGTGGACGCCGACCAGGGCGTCTGCTCGGCGTCCTGGGGGCCTAAACGCCGACCAGAGCATCTGCACGGCGTCCTGGGCGCATGCTCGGCGTCCTGGAAGGCTGGACGCCGAGCTGGGAGTCTGCTCGGCGTTCTGGACGCCTGGACGCCGACTTGGGCGTCCGGGGAGCTGGACGCCGACCTGGGCGCTTGCTCGGCGTCCCGGGCGTCTGGACGCCGACTTGGGCGCCTGGACGGCGTCCTGGGCGAGTGGACGCCGACCAGGACGCCAGGACGCCGACCTGGGGACGCCGGGCTTGGCGTAGCCGGCATACGACTAGGCTCGACGACCAGGCGGGGTTGCCCGGTCGACCGGGATACCCGGGCGACGTATGCGACGGTCGTCGGGGGTGGTTTTTGCGAGGACGACCTCGGGGGTGGTATCCCGAGGTCGACGTGGCTAATCGGCGCCGTCACGGGCGGGAACACCTGCGCTGAGCACGTGACGGGGAGTTGGACGCCAACCAGCTGCGCACACCTGCGAAGCAGGTGCACCGTTGTCATGCGGGTGCAACGCTGTGCAGCCGACTTGCTGCAGCGTTGGCACACCGTGGACATGCAACGTTGGCACGCCGCATCTCTGCAGCGCTGGAGCGGTGCGAGCATTGCTGCGCTGGAACGCGGTCGACCGTGCTGTGCTGGAGGTCGACCAGCAGCTGTGCTAGCTCTGATGTAGTGATGCATGCCAATGTTGTTGCTATCATTCTGAACCTTTGTTGTGATGTTTTCCTAGTGGAACTCTTGCCAATTCTCCCCGTGAACTAGCAAGTAGTGTGCGCACAAGGAAACAACTAAGGAACGAACGCAGAGATCCCTCTCACACACGTGCCTTCGCGTGACCTAAAAAAACGGAAAACTGCCAACTAAGATCCCATCCTCTCACTCTCATAGCCTCCCTCACATCGCCTCTCTCATCGCCTTACATGATGACAATCATGCCGGAGGGATCGCACATGAGGCCCGTGGCACTGCTTGCAGTCTGGACTCGCGCCACTCCACCTGGAGATGCTCCGCCCCCATGCTGCCTGGCATTCCTGCAGAAATTGCACTGCAACGAGTGGCAGTGGGTGGGGGTCGGGGTGAAGTGGGGGGTGAGGTGGGATGGGGAGGCCCTCCCCAGGAGGGATTGGAAACTTTCCACATCAAGCCCTGGCTGACGTCGGTCTGAAGACGACTTGCTCATTGATTGCCATCCTGTGTCCCCCTTGCCCATGTCGTTCCATCTCGCCTCTATCTTTCGCAATGCTCTAGCACGTCCCACGACCCTGCTCTCTACCCCTTGCCCTTGCTCCCTGCCCCAGAGCTTGCGCTCTGCCTCTTGACCTTGCTCCCTGCCCCTCGCGCTTGCTCTCTGCTCCACAACCTGCTCTTTGCCATACGCCCCTTGCTCTCTGCCACTCGCCCTTTGCTCTCTGCCACTCGCCCTTTGCTCTCTACCACCCGCCCTTTGCTCTCTGCCACTCGCCCTTTGCTCTCTTCCACTCGCCCTTTGCTCTCTGCCACTCGCCCTTTGCTCTCTGCCACTCGCCCTTGCTCTCTGCCACTCGCCCTTTGCTCTCTGCCACTCGCCCTTCTCTGTCCATCGCAAAAAATCAGGGCTTCCAAACTTACCTGAAACCTTCCTACGAGTGTCTCGCGGGTTGGTTGAAGAGAGTATACCTAGATGACACTCAAAAACATACCCATAGGACACTTCGATACTGATGCACCTGTTCGCGACGAATCGCAGCCGCTCATCTTAAACAAAATGAAACTTACACTCTTGTAACTTTGAATATGTTAACCATACAACTTTCACGACGTGCTGTGATTTGGTTGGTTCGTACGAATTTCACCATGGGCGTAGAATTTTCCCGCGCTTGATATGAGTGGTTCAGAGTCAGGGCACTCTACAAAATTGATTGGTCCACGCTTGTGTTTGTTGGCGTTTTTCCTCTTACGTCACTGGCTCGCGACAAAACGGAAGAAAAGACTGACTCGCTTATTCGAGCTTTGGTAACCCAACGCGAAATGTTTTGTCGCTGTTCTGTACGCTATTTTATTTCCTCCGTTTACGTAACATACATGTATCACCATGATACTTCGATTCTAGCTTTTTTTTTTTTTTCTCCATCTGGAAAGCATCAATGCAAATCACTGTTCATCCGAATTACCAATGGAAACTGGTTTCCACTGTAATCACAATTCATGAGTGTTTATGGTTATTAAAAGCATTAAACGAGAAATTGTCATAAGTATTGCCAATACAACAATAAAAGCTGCTACAATTCAAGAAACAGTTATAAAACAAATAACCAAAAGACCTAGCCTCACATGAAGAAGTCAATCACAAGTAACACAATTAACATCAGCATCAGTGGGTAGCATGGCAGGGAAGTCCATTCGCTGTTCATATATCAATATGTAGGGCCTGCACAATGAAACTGAATGTATATGCAACATGTTGAACTCACCAACAACCATCATCACGAACTTTCAATAATAGACCTGCAATAAAAGAACACACGACCTGCAAGAAGAAAAAGACGAGGTGCAACAAAAGAAAAACAATAAGTTACATGCACTTTATACCACAGCATTCGACAACCACGCTGGCGAGATGCAACGCGCGGACCGCCAACGGGCCTGAAACAATAGAAACACAGGCACAAAACTTAATGACAGCATGAGAGTAATGAAAAAACAGCATCTGAGAGCATCGGAAATTCCATCAACACCTGTGCGTTGTACGCTGGCAAAAACCCGTGTAAACCTAGTACCTGTAACACTATCTCGTCATATGTTTGGCAAAATCAAACAGCTAAATATGCACATCAACCAAAAACGATTAACAAAGGTCGGAGAAAGGTCGAATGCTCGAAAAAGGTACCTTGCACAGGAGAACGCAGGAACACTTCAAGAGCGCAGGAGGGCCTCGAGAGCGCAGAAGTGCCTCGTGAGCGTGCCTCCATTCGAGATCATTTACAGCATTGGCGAAGGTAATCGGGGGGAAGTCGGAACTAGAGAACCGGAAAATGCGGAGTCGGGGTTCGCAGGTAGACGAGAGCAGACACATCAACGGAGCAGCAACAAGTGACGAATAAATGACGCGGTATGCTGGGAAAATAGGCGTGCGAAGGAGGTTGATGGGAGGGAGGGAACAAGGAAGAGGGCTAGGCGTGTGAATCTCCAGGGAGAGGAGGGAGAGTGAGGTCGAGTTGGGCTGTTAGGGAGGGAAAATAAAAAAATCGGCAACGAGAAACTTTCACTGTCGACACTTCATTTGACACACGACTTATTAAATAGCAAGACAGCTCGTTTTCGCAACGGGCAGTAGATAACAAAAAATTAGGTTCAACTTATTGTCTGAACCACACATACCACCACCATCACTGCACCCACGATTCACGAACCTGTTTGCGCAGCATAAGGAATGTGTTGCAATTCGCTAGATAACACAGCGCGGCAAGATACGTGCTGGCATTCATGGCACAATGAAAATTGATTTACTGACACAGATTAATGCTAGATTCTCTGTGTGCGTTGGCGGACCTGAATGGAAGCTGGAAACAAATGTACCTGTGTGCTGGAGAGATAAACCAATGCATTACTCGCCAATCGCGCTAGCGGGTCGGGCTGTCCTGCTGCCAACTCGAGCTGGCAGTTCGAGAAACTGCAATGCTATCATTTCTCGAGCCAGCTGTATACAATATTTATGCCGAGGACCGGCTCACTAGCTTTACTAGTTCATTTCAGACCCAAGTTAGAAAGTATAAAAAGAAACAAACAAACTGTCACAAACAATAATAAATGAAGGCATTATCTTATCACTGGCAACAAGAAGCCTACGCAAGGTGACTTTAACGACTGCATCGCCCATATGTTTTGAGAACAGTGCATTAAGCATGCGAAAAAATTAATCAATTTGCTTCATATAAAGAACGCCATTGGCCCGTGGTGCGTCAGCTGCACGGTCGAAAGCACCATGCACCCGAGCAGCCCCGACCCCACCATTCCCAACCCCTCTCCCTTCCACACCCTCTCGTTTCTCTCTATTCCTGAAGCCCCCTTCCTTCCCTCCCTGTCGCTCCGCAAACCCCTCCTCATCCCCCACCACTCATCACCACCATCCCACTCTCCACCCCTCCTCCGCTCTCCACTACCCTCCCCTGCCTCCACCCCTCCTCTGACTCTCCGAATCCGCACATTCCTTCCTGATCCATGCCTATACCTCCCTGCCACACGCCGCATTTGCTCTCCATTGCCCCATCCCTCCTCCCCTCCCCCCTCCACCTCCTCAACCTCCTCCTCCTCCTCCTCCTCCTCCTCCTCCTCCTCCTCCTCCTCCCCCTCCGCCTCCCCATCCTCCTCCCCCCCTGCCCGCACCTCCACCACTTCATCCCCCTCTTCCCCATCATCATCCTCTCCGTCCCCCTCTCCCCAATCCTCCTCCTCCTCCTCCTCCGCCTCCTCCTCCCAAACTCCTCCTCGTCCCACAGCGGGGCCGCAGCAGGGCATGTGTGGGCGTTGAGCAGAGCGAGGGGCAGGGGGTAAGGAAGATACAAGCAACAGAGGGACGGGAGGGAGACGGAGTGTTGTCTTTGGCATGCGAAGGCCAAGGAGGCGGAGGAGGCAGGGGAGGATGTTAAGCCTTAAAACACGGCCAACGGACTACAGCGGATCTTGAGGTCTCTCACATCCCCCTATCTCACCTCGCCCTCTCTCATATCGCGCTCTCTCACATCGCCCTCTCTCACATCGCCCTCTCTCACATCGCCCTCTCTCACCTCGCCCTCTGTCACATCGCCCTCTCTCACCTCGCCCTCTGTCACATCGCCCTCTCTCACCTCGCCCTCTGTCACATCGCCCTCTCTCACGTGGAGGACTCTCACCTTGGGGTCGGGGCTAAAGCGCTGAGTGGTGGGGTCCCAGGCGACTACAGGCGGCAGCAGCCCCTGGAGGAGCTGGATGTCCTTCACCCACCCCCGCACCACTTTGCACCGCATTCGTGGCTGCTCCTCCGAGTACCTGGAGAACCCTTGTCGCAACCACAAGCGGTGCACTGCCCCCCAGTCCTCGATCCTGCCTGGGAGGGGGGAGCCCTCAGCACGCAGCACGTCCCGCATGATCCCCAGCAGCGCTGTCGTCTGCTCGTTGCTCCAAATCGCCCGCCCCTTGCCGCTCTGCAATGCCTGCTCCCACCGCTCACGCAAATCCTTGCCTATGCCCGTGCCTGTGCCCGTGCCTATCCCTGTGCCTTTGCCGATGCCCGTACCCGTGCCTGTGCCCGTGCCTGTGCCCGTGCCCGTGCCTGCAAGCATGTTACTGCCCCTGCCTGAAAAGCCATTGCCCAGCACAGTAGGCTCGTAAGTGTTCGCGCGTAGGGGGGGCGCGGGGAGACCAAAGGGGGAAGAGTGGAGGGTGTGGGAGGGGAAGGCATAAGGGGGGGAGGCGGGAACGGCAGGGGCAGGCAGGGCGACAAGGGGTTGGCGGCCAAAACCGACTCCAACCGCACAGCACCGTGTCGCTCCTCCGATCGCCCCTCCCCATCCCGAGCTCCCATTACAGCTCTCTCTGCCGTTGCTGGTGCCGCAGCAGCCCTCCCTGCTGCCGTTGCTGCCGCGGGCAGCCTCCGCCGTTTGCGCAGCTTCCACCGGCAGGTCAGGCGGTCTGCTGGGCAGCTGGTTGGGAGGCTGCTGCTCGGTGACCGACTGTAGGTGCTGTAAGAGAAGCGAGCGAGTCATGCTGTAACGGGGAAAACGGGACGGGAGGGGAGGGAGGAGGGGATTTTATCAAGCCAGGGCAATGTTACCGAGACCTGCGAAGGCTGCCTATCTAATTACAGTCATTCAAAAGGAGACTCGCAAGCAAAACGATGACACGTGGCAGTTATGATTGACCGCCTGACACATCGCGACTCGTTACGTTGCTACTAATTCGGACTTCGATAGCAAAACGATGACGTCACGTGGCCGTCAATATCGACCTGCTGACACATCGTATACTTGTATGAGCTACGTATCGACCTTGCAATACTGATACTAAGCAAAAAACTTCCCAACACGAACATCTCAGCACAATTCGGTCGTCAGAGTTTTGCCAGTGTCGACAGGAGGGGTCGTCGGAGCCGGGAATGACGAGGCGGGCAACTGACGCACGTGCGGGCCCGCCAGCCTGGCCCAAGGCTAGGCCGAGCGCACGACCGCCGCCCCGCAGCCCCGCTCCGAAAGTGAACAGCGACCCATGTTACCGGGTGGGGTCGGTGAACTGGCGACCCCTCGTGCGAGGGAAAGTAACCCTCGCGCGAAGGCAGCCCACCCGTGCCACCTGCCCGCTGGGTCCTAGTAACCCATCGCGACCTGCCCGGACGGGCCTGGCGAAAATTCGGGGCTCACCTCGGGACGCTCGACAATTTCGCGACCCGTTGAGGTGACGCCACGTGTTAGCCCGTGAATTCGCTCGGGCGCATGCGAAATTTCGGACTCTGCGAAATTGAAACATTCGCATCGCATGCGCAATATCATCGCGATTCGTTGCGATATCGACACGTGTCAGCCGTAACGACGCACCGCGCGCATTCGACATTGCGCCCCATGGCCGACCGAAGCCAGGGCACGTGACGTCGACTTGGTGGCTCGGCGGCGAAGGAGCACAAGTGCCACTTGTGCATGAGCCCGCCAAACCCTGCCGAGCCGGGAACCACGAACCCTGGGCGTTGCCACCAAAACATGCCGAGCCAGGCACCACGAACCCTGGGCGATACCTCTACCGACTCCATTTTCTTGGTTGCCGGAGGCATCGCTCCTCATTTTGAGCAGTTCGTTTGTGATTCATCATTTTGCCCATCTCTGCGCCTTCCATACTCCTACATTTCCTTAGCCTGTAGTCACTCCCCTTCCCCGTCATGGCGCCCGACGCGAAAGCCGGCGAAGCGGCGCCGACTTCGCAGGACTTCCCTCTGTATCTCGACCTGGATTGTGGGCTCTCATCCAAGCTCGACGAACACGACTACGCCGTCCTCGTAATCCATAGGCTAGAGTTCAACGCCCGTTGCTTTGGATTCGGCCTCAAGTGAGTCTGGAATGTCGGCGTCGTCATAGGAATTCCGTGCTGGTCGACGCAGTGTCTGATAGGGCTGTCACACATTTAGGGCCGCGCTGAGTTTAGGGTAATGGTTTCGGTGACGCCGACTTTCGGTTTCGGGACGACATCCCATATACCTCATCGACGAAAAAATGCCTTCCGTTTCCACCAATACGTCGGTGTCAGCACCTAGTTGTGCCCGCATCGGACGGCTCCGTTGACTACAACGTCGCTAGGGTGGTGCACCGTCGTCTTATTGGCATCCCCGTCTGTCGGCGGTTCGTGAACCGAAATATCCACCGCAGAGTCGTGCACCTCCTCATTCGCTCCTACTACCCATGCATGCGTGCAGGCGATCATGGATTGTCGCGACGGAGGCCAAGATGCGATTGTGGTCGATAGGAATCGGCCGGCTTCGGGCGGCGATGGGTCAGGACGACCACACATGCTTCTCGAAGGATTTCGACGCCGACTTAGCAGTTATCCCCCTGCACCCGAGGTGAGCTGGTTCGAAATCGTCTCGTCATGGTGTGCCTTGCATCTTATGTCGGTTCTCCGTTCTGAACGACGTCGTCGTGCCTTGCCTGTGCAGCATCGCGCCGCTTCCAGGAGCACACTGCAGCATCGTTGTGATCACGTACCCTGGCGACTTGTTGAAGGCCGGGGGGGAAAAGATCAGGACCTCGATCGGGCACGTGGACCCGCAGACAGTGAAGCAGTGGCACCGCGATGAGGCGATCCGCGTGCTGAAGTGAGTAATTAATCGTGCAGATAGTGTATTCGACGTCGTACGCCATTTCGCCGCGCAGCATAATCGTTATTGTCACAATAGGCTTCAATAGGCTTCAATGTGCCTAGAACCAAAGATAGAGTGCACAGTCGGATTTCTGCACAGCGGCTTTAAACGATCATAGCGTCCTGCTCACAACGCCAATTGACCTCATCTAACTTGGATCTAAAGCGTCTTAACGTCACCTACAATAGGCAATTTAGATCGCACGATTTCATTAAGAATTGACGACACAGCGTCAGATTGAACGAACGGCACTATGGCAGCAACATAGTCTTAGAAACACACAATTACGAACTGTCACATTTGCATGAATGTGAAGGGTAAGGCAGTGCGCGAATGGGCTGTATATACTGTAGATACTGTACATAGCGAAGCGGAATGCAGCGAGGACGGGAGCCGAAGAGACATTTGACGTTTCACGAACGGAGAAGGGAATTTGGGAGCCGACGGTTGCCAAGCCTTAGGGTCGGAGGATCACATGGGCAAGCGGGAGCTGGAACTTACGTAAGCAAGGAGGGGCGGGCTGCAGAAACAGAGGCAGACAAGGCAGCGGCAGCAGGAAGCAGCAGTGCAGGATGTGATGGATGGGTGAATGTATGCATACGCGTTTGTTTCCCTATGTGTGCAGGATAGGTTCGGGGAGCCAGCTGGATCTGGAAGTAACAGCTGGAGGACGAGCAGACAGGGCAGGAGAGGGTGGCAAGAGGAAGCACGGCTGTGAGCCTGTGTGAAGCAGCTCTTAGTTGCTAGCGTAGGCAGGGGTGATAGGACCGAAGCATGGCGGTGGTAGCGCTGATAGAATAGGTGGATACCTGAACTTACTATCCATTGCTTGTATGTTTCCCTTTTACACGAGTGTTTTGCTGTAATCTGAGCAAGCGGTGAACTTAGGGAGATATGGCGAGCAAGGGATTGTAGATCGGGGAAAGAAGGTTTAGTATGTGAAGGAGCACGGAGCTCATCACATACAAGCAATCTGAGGAGGCATGCCCACAAGGTCAGGGTTAGATTTCGCCACGAAGGAACCGATAGTGGTCAACGACGCGATGGATGGTGACGGGAAGAACGACGCAGAGGCTCAAAAAGGAGCCAGCGCGCACGGCGCGGAAGGAGGCGAGCACGGGAGGTGAGGGGGAGCCACGGGCTCCGACACCGCTCGCGAAGAGATGCGTGAGACGGACGAAGCGGGAGAGGAAGGCGAGGCAAAGAAGCCGGTGTCGGAGAGGACTGGTACGAACGCAGGGGCAAGGACGGGAACGGGTCGACCTTACCAGCGCAGTGCGTCGTGGCAGGGATTTGAGGAAGAGGCAGCGTCGTCGCGGTGGCGATACACCATGCTCCCGAAGGTGGAAGTGCCAGAACGGATCTCGGGAGAGGTGTGGCGAGGGCCTTCCCTGAAGAATTACCTCATGCAACTGAAGAATCTGCGAGCGCGATGGGAGCGAGACCAGCTGGCGGCGGAGGAATTCTTCCGAGGACTGGCGAATACATTGACAGGAGAAGCGTAGACCTACTACCGGATTTGCCGCCGTGAGCTGCTGGATTGGGTGGTGCAGGGGAGAGCGGGAGAAAGAGATCCGACGAAGCGGTTCTTGGAGATGCTCCGCGAGCAGTTTCCGCTACAGACGCCAGAGCAGGTCACGGAGTTCCGAGATTTTAAGCGAAGAACGGGTGAATCCCTGTTGGCGTACTACGGGAGGCTAGTGGAGTTAGGGGAGGACATGAACTGCACGGATCAAGGGCGGCTCGTCAGCAAGTTCTTAAACGGATTGAATTACGAATTGCAGCGGGATGTGCAAGTGAAAATCTTTGAGCTGGGGGCAGCAGCGACGTTGAAAGTGGCGTACGAGATGGCAAAGAGAGTGGAGACGGGTCGGCGGCTGTTCGAAGTGGAGCACATCGCGGAGAGATCAGTGGAGAGGAGGCGCCTAGCTTGGAGCGCCAGCCCGGTGGAACACGAGCGGCCGCCGAGGGGACCGGCAGATCCACGCAAGTGCCACAACTGCGGGAGGAGCGGGCATCTGCGACGCGAGTGTCGCAACCCACCGGCATGCTCCATCTGTGGGAAGGAAGACCATATGCGGAGGGATTGCCCGGATGCGCCGACGTGCGACAAGTGCGGGAGGAGGGGACACGTGGAGAAGGAGTGCTACTCGTGTCGTAGGGAACCGCGAGAAAAGGGGGAAGTGGCGGAGATGCGAGCGGAGATCGAGCAGCTGAGAGCCCAGCTGGAAGAGCGAGAAAGGGAACCTGAGAGGAGGCCCGCTATGGTGGCAAGGCAGGAGGAAGAGGAAGGGGAAAGCGAAGAGGAATGTGGGTTTATGGCGAGGCCGGCAAGGGAGAGGGACGAGCTGGGATTAAGGCCAAGAGAGAGGCACCTCAGGCAGAGGACGGAAGGACGGCAAGAGCACGGGCCAAGGAGGCTAGCAGGAGAGGACAGGGGAGGAGTGGCGCCTCGTCGGCACCCGCTGGAGAGGCTCAGTTGCGCGGCGTCAGTGCTTGTGGCGGAAAAGGGGTATATTACAATAGGGGGGTTGCCGGTGAAACAGGCCATTATTGACACGGGAGCCTACCCAGTGCTGATAGGAAGGCGACAGGCGGAGCAGCTGCAGCTGGATAGGCCGGAAAGGCAGATAGCAGAGGGACTGCTACTCATGACGGATGAAGGAGGTGGCACAAAGTGGATGCCAAAGACGCGGGCCACGGTGGAGATCATGATCAGGCAGGGAAGCCCCGAGGAAAGTTCGGTGAAGCTGCAGTGCGGTATCTCGCCTTCAGAGGACTATGACCTGCTACTAGGAGTGGAGTTCCTCTATAGCATCGGCTCGACCATATGCATGTGGGAGGAGCGGCTGACGTATCGAGTGA